CCTGCTGTCCTTTCTCAAAAAAGGCCTTCCAGAACTTAAGACAGGCTTGTAAATGTATTTTTATTATGTTGCAACAATCAAAATATATATGTACTACTGATTTTTCCCCCAAATATTAAATGAAAACGTAATACATATTTGCCCACATTGTGTTCTTGAATGCTTTGGAATCCATAAAGACCCTGACATAAAGAAACTGAAGCAACCGCACAATTAGAGACTGAAAGGTGTTATAGTGCTGCACTTACATTGCAAATGAAGTCAGATGTCTCTGTTTAATCAGATATAGTCTCAACAGTCTCCTTTTTGTGAGTATTAGAAACAATAAACAAATATACACAGAAAGCATCACAAACAGTGAATTGGTTATTTAAATACAACTGTATCCAACATAGCAGCTAAACACTGGACAATGTTTGAGGTCATCAGCACATCCACATGCTCTTCTAAATGACGTTTGGGGTCCTGAAATACAAAAGGATGCCATGAGATAAACGACTGAAACACATCTCTGAAGGATTTTCATTTACTTCAGGTCTACACAAGATGACTGTGAGCTAAGGAACACAGGCCAGTAATGCTCCTGAATTTTCCATCCTGACAAGACTTAGCAACTGACTGAACTCCCAGGAGTAAGATTTTATTGGTCCATGCTGTTACTCAGATAAGATGAGGATAGGTTTAAAAAGTAAACATCTATCTAGCATCTGAAGAATAACCATGACAGCTGTGAGTTGTGGGGACAACGCACAACATGTGGAATTTACGATACATCTCACTAAGGCCGGTATTTTAATCTTAGTTCTGGTACATTGCAGCATGTCTTCGGATCTTTGTACAAATGTGTGTTTTAATCCCAGACTCGAGCACAATCTAACACAGTCTTTGAACAGTTGTGTTGAATGCAAGAAAATTTCCATGTTTATACCCGTTTAAAAAAAAAAACCCACAACAAAACCAAACAGAAAAAAAAGCAAAATGCTATGTTCAAATTTTCTGAAAACCTGAATGTTAAGCCTGAGTAGTATTCTGAAAATACACAAACTATTACTCCACACGCACTATTACTCAACTGATGTGGGCATTTGTGGGCATTTGGATAGAACAAAAGATTATTTCTGGTTGAAAATCATACTCATATACTTCTTAAGTTTCAGAATTAAGATTAAGTAATTAATCTCCAGGTACTGCAAAATTATCAGACACTTTTAGAAAACATCTCTGAACTTTATTGTCATATTACTGTAGCATTCTTATGTGAAGAAATAAAAATAGTGGGAATTTTGACGTTTTAAAAACAAATTACTGTCAAAATCTAACAAAGCCATCTAAGTTTGCATAAAAGTGTACTAGAAATTTGTGTAAGCTGTCCTTCTTAAATAACTGATTTTCAAAGATCATACAGTTCTCTAATAGTCTCTCTTCCTAGCCAATTATGCAACCTAAAAACGTAATATCCCTATTGTTAGCAGCTTTTTGTTTAGAAAGCTTTTTATATAAGATCCATTAAAAAAAATACTTAACCAAACCATTTTGTAATTTAAAGAAAACTTGATCAATTTTATCGAGAAAATATTTATTCTCTTTTTAAAGAACTGCATCAAAATATTTTTTTCCCCCACCTATACGTAATGATTTAAACAACTAGTGAAGATCAAGTTCTGTTTGCGATGACATCATAACCCTTAAAATACAAGCCCTTCTTACATGTTTTATTATGTATATATATTTATGTCTATGTAGGTGTGCATAAACTCCATTGTTCTGAATGCTACAGAAATACACGAGTGACTGAGCAATAGTGCAGATGTGTTATGACATAGCTGCTAGAAGCTGACACATAAGAGCAATCCAGAATCCTTTAAATTCTTCTCCTGCTACTAGCAATACAATAAATACTGGTTCTTTAAGGACACACGGGATATTTTTAAAGCTATTTCTTGTCTCCATTGCTCTTATTGAATTTGCACACAACCTCTCAGGAACTTGTTTTGCTCTCCTCTCCCTCACTGAAGCCCATTTCCTCAACCTTTATGTTGAAATCAAACGTAGAAAGTTTTCTGCAGAGGGGCAGAATGAATTCTGTGGGTGTTTTCAGTTTCAGCTATGGCTCTAAACGGTTCTCCCTCAACAGCAGCACAAAGCAATGCAGCTCACTTGAGTCTGCGTGTGCCGGAGCGCAGCCCTGACAGCGTGTTCACCAACTGAGGACAGGGTGAGCTGGCTCTTTAGCCATGATGATGTATAAACAACACTCCCACCTTTTTTCAATTATTACTCTTTTTTACAAGTCTCCGCCACTTCGGCCTCTCTGACACAGACCTGAATATCTTCATGCCTCTTCTCAGAAGGAAGTTAGAAAGAAAAAAACAGAAGAAAAACTACCAAATCTCAACGCTGCTTCTCAGCACATAATACAAATGCATGAAGAACACAGCTTGCAGATATTCTGCCGGCTACCTATAGTCAAAAGCCTTGTTTCTTACACAACATCTTCAAGAAAATATAAATTCATTATTTGGAATGTTGAGAATATCTTGCACGTAGAACTAAAATCACCTACACACATGTAAAAAAAAAATTAATATTTAGAATGAACGAAGCATATCATTCCACCTCACTCTAATTCATCACACCTCACCTGCTTGCCAACATTTTTTATTGCCAGCTGTTCAGGTGTCATCTTATCTTCTTCTTCAACAGCCTGTGAAAGAAACACAGGAAAGGTCAGTGTTTCAGATTTCATTTACTTTTTCCCCAAGCCAGAAGATTCTCAAAATATAATTCTCTTTAGGAAAAAAAAAATAAAATCAAACAGCAACACATTTCAGAATGTCAAAAGGAAAGGTACTTCAGCTTTTCAGCAGACATGGTTTTAATTACTAAGTGTTAGTGCAAAAGATCAAGACAAACACTTATGAAGGGTTTTATTGTCGGATATTCACAAAATTGCTTTTAAGCAAAAACCTTAAACGAGCAGTATCAATAGTTAAAGACAGCTAAACCAAAAAGCAGAACCAAAAATAATGTTACCTACAATGTTTCAACTACTGGAGGTTTGATCTCAAATTTTTATACTGTTTGAAGTAATTTATTTTCATATATTTTAATAACGTTCTGTTGTGTTTGCACAGTGTCTTTATAAAGTAAATCCACTAACTTAACCAGTGAGTGTACTACTGAATTTTGGTTTTAAGGACTTCTAAAAAGTTAAAACATGGCACTTGTCAAGAATGACACGCTTACTACTCATAGAGTGTTGAGATCTAGTACTTATGAACACATTTCTAAATCTAAGTGGCACTATTAAAACAGTACAAATAGCTGTGATTCCTCTTTCTTATAACACCGATTCGGATTTCTTTATTTAAAAAGAACATTGAATTGGGCTCTAGAACATGTTCTAAATACTTACTCTTTACCTACTGGAATGATACAGCAGACAAATAACCTTTATTCTGCTATACTGGTCAAGGAGTCCTTGACTGAAGGATTGAAGAATACAGTCAACTGCTTATTTTCATCTACAGGTATCTTATATTCTCTTCACTAAGTAAAAATATAAAATTGATTTGATTACTCACATTTCAAAGCAAAACATGTAATTAAATGCTTTGCTAGCTTGGGCAAAAAGGTCTGATGGTAAAGCTTGAAGAGCTAATAGGCAACTTCACATAGAAATGATAAAACGTTGATTAAACAAGAAACATCGTCTCCACAAGGCCATTAAAGCCACACTCATGCCTAATTTAACCAAATACCAAGAAACTCTTCCCTAAAAACTGATGATCTAAATCAATTTAACATGGTCCAAAAGAGCTCCTGCAACAATTGTTTTGTTCTTATAGTCTAGTCCTTTACAAATCATTCTGAATGAAGCCTGAAGTAATAAAATGTCTTCACTTTCATAAACACAGCTACAGTTACACTGATTACCTTGTTATAATTCTTCGCTAATTCTAACATCTCCTTCACTACTGTTTCATTGAGTTTGCAATGTTCACTGTAGTCCTGAAGTGTCAAACCTTCCATCCAACTCTTCTTATGCAAATTTAGCAACATCTGCAAAACAAAACCTCTTTAGAGCATTCACTGTAAAATACATTCACAGTGCTATGAAGATCTCTTTGACAGGAAAAAAAATATAATAGTAAGAAAGTAATAAAAGTTATTGATCTCCCAACATTTAAATACAGGAAATACAATAATCACCTATTCTGCTAGAGCAGACAATAGATTTTTTATTTTAAAGATCAAACTTCTTGAACCCTAAATACAAAAAGGCATGAAAATCAGGGTCATGTTTACTTTGACAGGAATACTTAGGTTTTCCTTTTTCATTTTTGCTGTAGGTTGAGAATGCAGGAGAATGTAGGTTCACTGCAGGACAGCCACTAGAAAGGCGCCAAATAAGGGTTGGTTGAAGCCTCTGACGAAGTTGAAAAGTATTTTAATGCCCAAATTAAACATATGAAGTAGTTATTTAGGCTTCATTGATTATCCTGAACTGTATGCAAGCAGCTGCCACAGTTGTGATGCAACCAAGGCACGATTTGTGTGTGTTTGTCCTCCTACAAAGTAAACAAGCCTGAAAAACACCGTAAGAAAAGTGATGCAGAGTTTTGACGGTGATAAACCCAGGGACTGTTAGAAATATCTGACTTGACATTCTGATGCCATTCTTGAGTGAAGGAACAGCTACAAAGGCAATCTCACGATTGTAAGGAACAAAGAGTGTTTTGTGGATCTTCTGCACACTTGAGGTCTGTAGGGAGGACCCTTTCAGGATGTAGTTTCAGTTTGCCTCCAATTTGCCAACATTTACTACAGACATCTTTGAGAATCACCTGAGTAAAAGTGCTCTTTTCATTCTACTTACAGCTTCCAAGGAAGCCTGGCTTTGGAACATATGAACCGAGCTGAAAGTTTGTGTCATAATTTGTATCAGCAAGATCTTAGTTACTGACAGAAGGAGTTGTAGGGAA